TGTCTTCGAAACCTCGCTTTTTCTTTTTTTCGCAGTCTGGGATTTGTTGCGAAATTGTGCCAACGCAGTAGAGTCACAGGAAATCGCTTGATGGTCATATCTATTTCGAAGCTACTTTGGACCGCGCATCGAGTCGCCATGCTATTGGGAGATTCCGAATACATCTCCGCCAAAGGTCCAAGCAGTGGCACGAGCAACACCTATTCCTGTGGCACGATTGGACTAAGTAGATGAGGGCAGTCCTTATTTCTAGTAGTACATATAGGGTACGGTGATTAGGATAATGCTAGTTCAGAGCACACTTCCTCCTCAGCGGAGGCAGATAACGTCCGTTCTGACACACCATTTGTGTTCCCTGAATACCTCTCGCCTAAGAGGGGGTGTATTCAAACAACTATGAATTACGTAGCTTCCTCGGCATTTTCAACATCGACCTAGCTGGCCACCCTTACGAGTAGTTTATGCATGTCATTTATGGTGGCCTTTCTTCCATCCGGACGTCGACCCCATCATCGCGTCCATCTGGAGTTACTGTGTTGATGGTGATTGATTGAGTGGGACGTTGTGTATTGCAGGTGGGGTGACTTGCGTCACTCGCAATGCATCTCTGCTCCACAAATGATGGAAATTGCTCAGTGCCCTAATGAATGCGATAGGCTTTTCCAGCTGTATGAAGGTCCTCCGTCACGGTAAACGTTAGTTTGGCTGTATTTGCTGTAATATCTCTTCTCCATGCCATGTAATAGTCCTAGGTGGTTTCGTGCGATGATGATACACTTTTCACTCATTCATTTGGCTGCAGTGCGTACTCTATAACATTGTGGGTTGCTGTTTCAGCGTTTGGTAAGTAAACGCAGATTGGTGCTCTCATTTTACAACCTGTGATCATCTTTATCCAGAATTTGTTTATTGTCTTTAGAAATGACTAGATATTTGACCATTTTTAACGTAGCTTTATTGTCATTTAAGTGGCAACTTTGGATTCTGAATATAACATTGAGAAGAACGTCACTTTGATGATTTGATGCTGCAAAGCATCAAGTGAGTATGCTCTCGGCTCTAAATGTTTGTGCTAGAGCTCGACGCTTTTCGTGAAACGTAAAATACACCTTAAAGGGACAGATTCTTTGGTATTGTACACCTCGTCCTGATATTCTAACGTGAGATATGCACGTTGAAATGCACCTTGTGGAAGATAAGCGGTTAGAAAACACGAATCTTGGGGTGGAATGGATGTCATCGGCCTCCGTGTCGGAGGAAGTACACCCTGAACTAGCGTATCCTTGATCACAGTAACGATTTTAAGATGTTATCAATTAAAATCCCTAATCTAGTCAGTATGCTCTTTTCAAGGAAAGGAGTTTTGAGGAGGAAGAGATAAGCATTGAACCTATTGCACTAAAATGCTTCTTTTACCTGGAGTAGCTTGTCTGGAATTTGGGAAAGACTCAGGTTTCCACAATGCTGATAAACTAACTTAATTTATCAAATCTACTATTTTGACATGCAAAAGTAAGCTGTATTAGAGAAATATGGTAAAGCAATTAACGAATATATCAGGCAGTGAGTCCAAAATGAACTGTGGAACTAAAAATACTTTGCTTAATTAAATCAAAATTAATGTCGCTTAAGTTCGATAAAACAATCAAACTGCGCTTAATGCTCTGCAATTAGAGACTGTTCTAATATTGGAGAAAATATTGGGTAACTACATGGTGGTTCATGGCAAGAACGGATACTCAGGCATTGGCTGACCCAGTTAAAAATGGTGAAGAAGATAGAATGCTCCATTGTGCATTGGAACGAGAAACTGCAAAAGTACATTTTTACGTTGAAGCTTAGTAGGGGAAATACATACTATTGCATACGCCTTATCCCACAGACCAAATTGGTTAGAAACTGGTGATGTTGCAATGCAGTAAAAGCGTAATCATGGGTAAGCCCACTAAAAGGGATTGGGGATATGCACAGAGTGCCGATCCTGACATCGATCCAACACGTGCGGTGTTCCTTACATCCATTTGCATACCCACAGCAAAAGAAATAACCTTCTTTCAGCGAGGCGACCAGATGGACATGGTAAGAATGGCGTGAACTCCCCCTAGAAGGTAATTTGCATTTTAATAAAATGCTGCATCTCT